CCTGCCTCTGCCTCCCAAGTGCTGGAATTAAAGGTGTGCGCCACCATGCCCGGCTTCAGATAATATTTTACAATGATACATCATTGTTTTAAAGGCATACACACACACTGCACTGGATAGCTTTTCCATCCAGTCCCCCTGCCCAGCCACACCTGCTATTCAGTTTCTTGTGTCCATTCATAATGTTTGCACCTGTGTCCAGCTCATCTTTATCTCTGTCTGTTTCAGCTGGTCAGTTTTTCTCCAGGGTTCTAGAAGGTTTGGGTCTATTGAGTTTGCCATCTATGAAGCTGGACCTGTAATCTCAACTGTTTGGGAGGCTGAGGCATGAGATTCACAAGTTCAAGGCCTGCCTGGATAAGGAGGGTTTGTCATCTGTATCTGTTTCTACCAGCCTTCAAACCACACTGGCTTCTTCCAGCAGAGCCCAGGCTACAGTTTGATAAAACACCTGTGTGCTCCATCATACAGAAACCCACAGCTTGCCAACATGGTCTGGAGTCAGGGCGCAGTTATTTTCCTTGGTGAAGTCTGCCTTCAGAGTCCCTTGGGGAAAGAACATTGTTAGAAAGTGCTCCTTACGTTACTGGTGAGCACCTTTTATTTTATTTATAAAATAAAAATAAAAAATAAATATTTATTTTTTTAAATTTGTCTCTTTTTAGCTTTTAAAAAATTTTATTTTTATTTTATGTGTATGTGTGTATTGTCTGCATGTAGATAAGTGGACCCGTGTCATGCAATGCCTGCAGAGGTCAGAAGAGGCTGTGGGATTCCCTGGGACTGGAGTTACAGACAGTTGTTAGCTGCCATGTGGGTGCTGGGATTCAAACCTGGGTCTTCTGCAAGAAAAGCCAGTGTTCTTAACCGCTGAGCCATATCTCCAGCCCGTTATTATTTTTTATACATATGAGTTTTTTGCCTGCATGTAAGTGCACCCATGCATGCACTGCCTGTGGAGGCTAGAAGAGGGCATCAGATCCCCTGGAAACAGAGTTACGAACAGCTGTTAGCTGTCGTGGGAGTGCTGGGAATCAAACCCTGGTCCTCTGGAAGAGCAGCCAGTGCTCTTAACTGCTGAGCCATCTCTCCAGCCCCTCCCCCCAAAGTTTAAAATTTTTTTTTAATTTAAATTTATTTTTTGCCAGACATGGTACATGTCTTTGATCCCAGCACTCAGGAGGCAGAGGCAGGAGGAGCTCTGAGATCAAAGCCAATGTGGTCCACAGAGTGAATTCCAGGTCAGCTGGGGTTACAGGGAGACCCTGTCTCAAAAAAAGGGGAGAGATTTATTTATTTATTTTTAATGTGCCTGCATACATGTGTGTACCAGGTGTGTGCAGTGCCCATGGAAACCAGAAGACGGTATTGGATCCCCTGGAACTAGAGTTGTGGGATGCCATATGGGTGCTCGGAACCAAACCTAGGTCCTCTTCAAGAGCAGCAAGTGCTTTTAACCACTGAGTAAACCCTCCAGCTCAGGTATCTCTTACTTGAAAAGTTTGGTGGTATCTGAGATGTACACCCCAGATTGAAAGCTGCTGTTTCGATGTCTTTGTTTTGCAGGGGAGGGAACCGAAGCCCAGAGAGGAAAAGTAGCTATGCAGGTAAGAAATCAGTGACCACCTTTTTATTCTGTTGTGTTTGGGCAGCTAAGGCTCCCAGTGACCGGTTCTTCCCTCTTGAATCTCTAATCCAGATAATTTGTCACAGGGAGTATGTGAGGAAAACTGACACTTGGTATAAAAGTCAAGGATGGAGGCCACATTGTATGCCATGCCTGTGCAATGGCACAAGTGTGTCCACCCTCAACT